GTTTGCTGTCCCCCGACCCATTATTTTTTTTAGTCGGTAGGTAGGTAGGTATTTTTTTGTGTGAGGCATAATAGTTATTTTAAGTCTGTCCTCATGTTTGCCACACATGCTTTGTGTTTCAGTCTTAACTATAAGAAATGTAAAAAAAAAAAATGGAACCCAAAATGTCTAAAAAAACTTTTGGGTCGCAGCTATTTTCGTGGGTCGGTCGGAGGACAGCAAACATAATTTTTTAAGGATGGCCTTATGTTCGCTTTGTACAGTAACACACAGTAGCTGAATAAAAAGCCCGAGGTACTAGAGCCCAATATAGTCAATTGATGAAATAAAAGCAGCAGTTTTGTAACGATATGGTGCAGGATCATTAGGGTATGATGCACCAGGAGGGTGGGTGCAGTCACTTATCAGCTGAACCGATGATAAAGCTTCTCCATAGCTGTTGCAAAGGTATCAGGTGACGTGACTGTTGCCATTTCTTCTGGCAGCTGATTTCAGTCTATTGTTTTTATTTAAAAAATGTGAATGTTGAAATTTTGTTCTTTGGTGCCATGTTCATGTACACACACATGTTCACTCTTAAACATGATCTACGCTTGCTTTTATAATATTTACAGTCTCAAAGTCAGTAATTTTTTTCAAGTGAATTTTATATTTTTTTAATTATAATATTCACTTGAATGCAAACCTTCCAACCCTAGCTTAATTTTAGTGATTTTATAAAATTTCCCACAAAGAAGGCTGGGACTAACCCTCTTATCACTTTTTAGAAGGCTGTGAAGTTCATCCTTCTTCATCATGAAGCTAGGGTTGAAAGGTTTGCATTAATGCTAATTAATCTAGCATCTTTTTTGGTATTCCTGCCTGTATCTCTGAAGGCAAGAGATGTCTAGTTTTTGTTCCACTGAAAGTAATTCGATATTACTTATTGGAATAAACTGACACAGGTTCATAGTGTTAATGAATTCATGCAATCAAATCCATATGCACAAAAATTATTAGCACTACGTTGGTGGGAGATAAAACAAATTGACACTTTAATTACTTAAAGCCGCACAATGCGCATCTAAACGCTAATTTCTTCAGTACTAGACTAGCAAATACTTCGTGTCATGCATAATCATACTACCTTACTAGGACAAA